CTCCAGTGGCTGCCGCGGCTGGTGCACCGTGCTGATATGAAGGCAGGAGCCAGGTGCTTCTCCTGGTCTCCCATGCGGGTGCAGGGCTCAAGGACTTGGGCCATCCTCCACTGCACTCCCGGGCCACAGCAGAGAGCTGGACTGGAAGAGGGGCAACTGGGACAGAATCTGGTGCCCCAACTGGGACTAGAACCCGGTGTGCTGGCGCCGTAGGTGGAGGGTTAGCCTATTGAGCCGTGGTGCCGGCCAAGATTTATTTTAAATTATCTTTATATACAGAAGATCAATTTAGTATATACTAAGTAAAGATTTCAACAGTTTGCACCCACTCAGAAACACAAAGTATAGAGTATTGGTTTAGCAGTAGTTTTACCGCTAATCACATAGTAGAACACATTAAGGACAGAGATCCTACATGGGGAGTAAGTGCACAGCAACTCCTGTTGTTAACAATTGACACTCTTATTTATGATGTCAGTAATCACCCAAGGCTCTTGTCATGAGCTGCCAAGGCTATGCACGCTTCATGAGTTCGCCAACTCTGATCTTATTTAGACATGGCCATAGTCAAAGTGGAAGTTCTCTCCTCCTTTCAGAGAAAGGTACCTCCTTCTTTGATGGCCCATTCTTTCCGCTGTGATCTCACTCACAGAGATCTTTGATTTACATATCTTTAACTTTACATATCCTCCCTCTCTTATTCCCACTCTTATATTTAACTGGTATCACTTTTCAGGTAAATTTAAACACCTAAGAATAATTGTGCGTTGATTAAAGATTTCAACCAATGGTATTAAGTAGAACAAAAAAACACTAAAAGGAATAAAATAGTACGTTGTTCCTCAGCAGTCAGGACAAGGGCTGATCAAGTCATTGTTTCTCATAGTGTCCATTTCAATTCACAGGTTTCCTTTTTGGTGCTCGGTTAGTTGTCACTGATCAGGGAGAACATATGATCTTTGTCCCTTTGGGACTGGCTTATTTCACTCACCATAATGTTTTCCAGATTCCTCCATTTTGTTGCAAATGACTGGATTTCATTTTTTTTTTTACTGCTGTATATAGTATTCTATAGAGTACATATCCCGTAATTTCTTTATCCAGTCTACTGTTGATGGGCATTTGGGTTGATTCCAGGTCTTAGCTATTGTGAATTGAGCTGCAATAAACATTAAGGTGCAGACAGCTTTTTTATTTGCCAATTTAATTTCCTTTGGGTAAATTCCAAGGAATGGGATGGCTGGGTTGTATGGTAGGGTTATATTCAGGTTTCTGAATAATCTCCAGACTGACTTCCATAGTGGCTTTACCAGTTTGCATTCCCACCAACAGTGGGTTAGTGTTACTTTTTCCTCACATCCTCACCAGCATCTGTTGTTGGTAGATTTCTGTATGTGAGCCATTCTAACCAGGGTGAGGTGAAACCTCATTGTGGTTTTGATTTGCATTTCCCTGATTGCTAGTGATCCTGAACATTTTTTCATGTGCCTGTTGGCCATTTGGATGTCCTCTTTTGAAAAATGTCTACTGAGGTCCCTGGCCCATCTCTTAAGTGGGTTGTTTGTTTTGTTTTTGTGGAGTTTCTTGATTTCTTTGTAGATTCTGGTTATCAGCCCTTTATCTGTTGCATAGTTTGCAAATAGTTTTTCCCATTCTGTCAGTTGCCTCTTCACTTTCAGGACTGTTTCTTCTCAATTTGATTCAATCCCATTTTTTTTTGGCTTTGACTGCCTGTGCTTCCAGGGTCTTTTCCAAAAAGTCTTTGCCGGTGCCAATATCTTGCAGGGTTTCTCCAATGCTCTCTAATAATTTGATGGTGTCAGGTCGTAGATTTAAGTCTTTAATCCATGTTGAGTGGATTTTTGTGTAAAGTGAAAGGTGGGGGTCTTGCTTCATGATTCTGCACATGAAAATCCAGTTTTCCCAGCACCATTTATTGAATAGACTGTCCTTACTCCAAGGATTGGTTTTGGATCCTTGATCAAATATAAGTTGGCTGTAGATGTTTGGATTGATTTTTAGTGTTTCTATTCTGTTCCATTGGTCTATCCATCTGTTTCTGTACCAGTACCATGCTGTTTTGATAACAACTGCCCTGTAGTATGTCCTGAAATCTGGTATTGTGATGCCTCCGTCTTTGTTTTTGTTGTACAAGATTGCTTTAGCTATTCAAGGTCTCCTTTGTCTCCATATGAATTTCAGCATTTTTTCTAGATCTGAGAAGAATGTCTTTGGTATTTTGATTGGTATTGCATTGAATCTATAAATTGCTTTTGGGAGAATGGACATTTTGATGATACTGATTCTTCCAATCCATGAGCATGGAAGATTCTTCCATTTTTTGGTATCCTCTTCTATTTCTTTCTTTAAGATTTTATAATTTTCATCGTAGAGATCTTTAACGTCCTTGGTTAAGTTTATTCCAAGGTATTTGATTGTTTTTGTAGCTATTGTGAATGGGATTGATCTTAGAAGTTCTTTCTCGGCCGGCGCCGTGGCTCAATAGGCTAATCCTCCACCTTGCGGCGCCGGCACACCGGGTTCTAGTCCCGGTCGGGGCGCCGGATTCTGTCCCGGTTGCCCCTCTTCCAGGCCAGCTCTCTGCTATGGCCAGGGAGTGCAGTGGAGGATGGCCCAGGTGCTTGGGCCCTGCACCCCATGGGAGACCAGGAAAAGCACCTGGATCCTGGCTCCTGCCATCGGATCAGCGCGGTGCGCCGGCTGCAGCGGCGGCCATTGGAGGGTGAACCAACGGCAAAGGAAGACCTTTCTCTCTCTGTCTCTCTCTCTGTCCACTCTGCCTGTCAAAAAAAAAAAAAAAAAAAAAGAAGTTCTTTCTCAGCTGTGGCATTGACTGTATATACAAGTGCTGTTGATTTTTGTGCATAGATTTTTGGCGCCGCGGCTTACTAGGCTAATCCTCTGCCTTGCGGCGCTGGCACACCGGGTTCTAGTCCCAGTCGGGGTGCCAGATTCTGTCCCGGTTGCCCCTCTTCCAGGCCAGCTCTCTGCTGTGGCCAGGGAGTGCAGTGGAGGATGGCCCAAGTGCTTGGGCCCTGCACCCCATGGGAGACCAGGATAAGTACCTGGCTCCTGCCATCGGATCAGTGCGGTGTGCCAGCGGCTGTGCACCAGCCGCGGCAGCCATTGGAGGGTGAACCAACGGCAAAGGAAGACCTTTCTCTCTGTCTCTCTCTCTCACTGTCCACTCTGCCTGTCAAAACAACAACAACAACAACAAGTTGTGTTGATTTTTGTGCATTGATTTTATATCCTACTACTTTGCCAAACTCTTCGATGAGTTCCAGTAGTCTCTTAGTAGAGTTCTTTGGACCCCATAAATAATCATATCATCTGCAAAGAGGGATAGTTTGACTTCTTCCTAATTTGTATCCCTTTAATTTCATTTTCTTGCCTAATGGCTCTGGCTAAAACTTCCAGAACTATATTGAATAGCAGTGGTGAGAGTGGGCATCCCTGTCTGGTACCAGATCTCAGTGGAAATGCTTCCAGCCTTTCCCCATTAAATAGGATGCTGGCCATGGATTTTTCATAAATTGCTTTGATTGTATTTAGGAATGTTCCTTCTATACCCAATTTGCTTAGAGTTTTCATCGTGAAAGGGTGTTGTATTTTATCAAATGCTTTCTCTGCATCTATTGAGATAATCATATGGTTTTTCTTCTGCAGTCTGTTAATGTGGTGTGTCACAATGATTGATTTGCAAACATTGAACCATACCTGCATACCAGGGATAAATCCCACTTGGTCTGGGTGGATGATCTTTCTGATGTGTTGTTGCATTCTATTGGCCAGAATTTTTGTTTTTAAATTTTTTGACAGGCAGAGTGGACAGTGAGAGAGAGAGAGACAGAGAGAAAGGTCTTCCTTTGCCATTGGTTCACCCTTCAGTGGCCGCCACGGCTGGCGCGCTGCGGCTGGCGCACTGCACTGATCTGATGGCAGGAGCCAGGTACTTATCCTGGTCTCCCCTGGGGTGCAGGGCCCAAGGACTTGGGCCATCCTCCACTGCACTCCCAGGCCACAGCAGAGAGCTGGCCTGGAAGAGGGGCAACCAGGACAGAATCTGGCGCCCCAACCGGGACTAGAATCTGGTGTGCCGGCGCCGCAAGGTGGAGAATTAGCCTAGTGAGCCGTGGCGCCGGCCGGCCAGAATTTTATTGAGAATTTTTGCGTCTATGTTTATCAGGGATATTGGTATGTGATTTTCTTTCAATGCTCTATCTTTTTCAGGCTTAGGGATCAAGGTGATGCTTGCTTCATAGAAAGAACTTGGGAGGATTCCCTCTTTTTTGATTGTTCTGAATAGTTTGAGAAGAATTGAAGTTAGTTCTTCTGTAAATTTCTGGTAGTATTCAGCAGTGAATCCATCTGGTCCTGGGCTTTTCTTTGTTGGGAGGACCTTTATTACTGATTCAATTTATGCCTCAGTTATGGGTCTGTTTAGGTTTTCTATGTCTTCATGGTTCAGTTTACGTAGGTTGTAAGTGTCCAGGAATCTGTCTATTTCTCATAGATTTTCCTGTTTGCTGGCATACAAATCTTTGTAGTAATTTCTTTTTTTTTATTCTTTGTAACATCACAGCCCAGGAAGACTAATATTTATTGCTGACTTAGCTCACAACATTATCCCTTTTAAAAGCAGCAGCATGGTCACAAGAAAATGTTTCATGGGCACCTCACATGAGCATCAGAGCTTCACAGAGCAAGGCTCCATGGCTCTGCCCCCCAGGAGCTTCCAGTGTAGCTGGAGAGACACTGCAGACATCCAGAACACAAGGGAGGATCCAGGGCTCAGTCCACACCCAACAGCAGCAATCACTGGCGGAAGTCATCATACACCTTACAAGTGAGCCACAGGAATTTCTTAGCAATTACACACTAAATCAAGTTTCAACTTGACACAGCAAAAAAAAAATTTTTTTTTTTACTTAGTGTGTTTATACTTGTGTTCATTTGTATTTCCACTCAATTGAATTAAGAGAGGAAAAACATAATTTCAGGCCAACTGTACCATAATGTTCATTGTCCTACGTGGAGGGATGGCTTGTTCAGGTCCTAAATTTTTCCACAGTTCCACGTCCTGATGTCAAGCTCAGTAGCTTTTACTGCCAAACCGATGTGCAAATTCAGATAGTGTGTAGACAGTGCCCCATCCCAACTTAGGGTCCATACTGATAAAATCATTCAGGTTCATTTTGGAATCTCCAGTCTCAATGCAGGGATAAGGCGGGGACGGCTCCCTCCAGTTCCCACTGGAGTCTTTCATGTGCGATCGGTTGGAAGCAAAGTTCTTCAGATATGAATCTGCACGGATCACTCTAAATTTCCTCCTGAACTGTGGGTGAATGTCGTCATCAGACTTAAAGGCATCTTCTACGTAAGTGTCAGAGGGACAGGGAGAGGGCAAGACAGTATCCAGATCATAGATGAAGCTCTGTCCTCCACTTGAAACATGGAGCAAAACAACGTGGTAATCCCAGATCACAGGTCCGTTCCCGCATCTTGCCTGTTGTTTCCAAATAGGTATCATCTTTCTCTCTTTAGATATGAAGACAGCATAACACTCTTCCAAAGGGTACTGGTCATGGTTCTTGATGTGTTCACAGAGCTTCCAAATATTTTCTTCACAGTAGCAGCTGCTGTAGACACAGGCATCCCGCGGAGGGCCGGCTGGCTGGTAGCAGGCGGCGGCGGCAGTGGCAGGGCCGTCCCCCGCCTCCATGGTGGGCTAGCTTGGGCCGCAGCCCGGGCAGGAGGCCGCCCAAGTGGGCCAATCACTGCAAGCAGCCGGTGTGCAGCCCACAGTGCCCGTTCCCGGAGTGGAGTAGGTGGAGCCTCTTTGTAGTAATTCCTTATGATTCTTTTTATTTCTGTGGTGTCTGTTGTTACATTCCCTTTTTCATCTCTGATTTTTATTGATTTGGGTCTTTTCTTTTTTAGTTAGTTGGGCCAATGGTGTGTCAATTTTGTTTATTTTTTCAAAAAACTAGCTCCTCGTTTAGCTGATCTTTTGTAATTTTTTTGGATTCAATTCTGTTTATTTCTTCTCTGATTTTAATTATTTCTCTTCTCCTACTAGTTTTGGGTCAGGTTTGCTGCAGTTTTTCTAGATCCTTGAGATGCATTGAGTGCTCATTTATTTGGTGCCTTTCCAATTTCTTGATGTAGGCAGCTGTTGCTGTAAACTTTCCTCTTAACACTGCTTTTGCTGTATCTCATAAGTTTTGATATGTTGTGTTGTTATCCTCATTTACTTCCAGAAAGTTTTTGATTTCTCTTCTGATTTCTTCTATGACCCAGTGTTCATTCAGGAGCATGTTGTTCAATCTCCATGTGTGTGCATATGCTCTAGGGATTCCTGAGTTGCTAATTTCCAGCTTCATTGCACTGTGGCTGAGAAGCTGCATGGTATGATTCTAATTCTTTTGAATTTTCTGAGACTTGCTTTATGGCCTTGTATGTGGTCAATGCTAGAGTAGGTTCCATGTACTGCTGAGAAGAATGAAAATTCTTTAAGTGTAGGATAATAAGTTCTGTAGATATCTGTTGGATCCATTTGGGCTATAGTGATGATTAAATCTGCTGTTTCCTTGTTGATCGTCTGTCTGATTGTACTGTCTATTTCTGAAAGTGGAGTATTTTTCTTTTTTGACAGGCAGAGTGGATAGTGAGAGAGAGAGAGACAGAGAGAAAGGTCTTCCTTTTGCCATTGGTTCACCCTCCAATGGCTGCCCCGGCTGGTGTGCTGCGGCTGGTGCACTGCGCTGATCCGAAGGCAGGAGCCAGGTGCTTCTCCTGGTCTCCCATGGGGTGCAGGGCCCAAGCACTTGGGCCATCCACTGCCTTCCTGGGCCACAGCAGAGAGCTGGCCTGGAAGAGGGGCAACTGGGAAAGAATCCGGCGCTCCGACCGGGACTAGAACCTGGTGTGCCGGTGCTGCTAGGTGGAGGATTAGCCTATTGAGCTACGGCGCTGGCCTGAAAGTGGAGTATTGAAGTCCCCCAATACTATTGTATTGGAGTCTAGGTCTCCCTTTAAGTCCCTTAACATATATTTTAAATAAACCAGTGCCCTGTAATTAGGTGCATATACATTTATAATAGTTACATCTTCCTGTTGAATTGATCCCTTAATCATTATATAGTGCTCCTCTTTGTCTCTCTTAATGGTTTTTGTGTTAAAGTTTATTTTGTCTGATATTAATATGGCTACACCAGCTCTTTTTTGGTTTCTGTTCGCATGGAATATCTTTTTCCATCCTTTCACTTTCCGTCTGCATGCATCTTTGTTTGAAATATGTGTTTCTTGTAAGCAATAAATAGATGGGTTTTCTTTCTTAATCCATTCAGCTAGTCTGTGTCTTTTAACTGGAGAGTTGAGGCCATTAACATTCAATGTGACTATTGATAAGCAGTAACTTTGCCCTGCCATTTTCCCAAAGATGTTTCTAATATATGCTTTGAATTTCCTGTGATCTTTTACTGGGAGGTTTTCTTCTCTTACCTTCTTTCATATTGATGGCTGTGTTTCTGTGTTTCTGTGTGTTACATATCTTTAAACATCTTTTGCAGGGCTGGACGAGTGGTGACAAATTCTTTCAATTTCTGTTTGCTATGAAAGGTCTTCATTTCACCTTCATTCACAAATGAGAGCTTTGCAGGATATAATATTCTGGGATGGCAGGTTTTTTCTCTCTTAGTACTAGAGAGTGTTTCTCTTTCCACCTCAGGGACCAGAAGACGTCTTGTTCCCTGGGAAATCTTGTGTCAAAATGATATGAAAATGATCTGGTTGCTTCAGAATGGACCTAAAAGTTCCCCCATGAGCCCTCCATGTGGTCCATTCTGTTCACTCTTCCAGTGAGGAGCACACAGACAAGGCCTCCTACTGGTGACCCCTTTCAATTCAAACAGGCATGGGCCTCTGTCCTGTAACTCCTAGACTCCCAGTTGTTCTCAAGGTGGTGGATAGACCTTTATAGAGTTAAGGAGTAGCTCCATGAAGTCTGATTTTGAACCCTGTGTCTTCAACATGTCAATCTCCCAACAGCCCAGGTGCATGCTGACGCTGAGTTGAAGGGTTTTTGGAGAGTCTGAAATCCCTGATTGCTCAATGCCTAATAGTGCTGAAAGTGAGGAAATAAGGAGGATCCAGCACCACCCCTACTCACATTGTGATATGGATGGGCCCATGGTCATGACATGTGCAATGACAAAAGCAACTTTACTCTGTTACTCGTTTCTCCATGATAATGGAGTACCCCTGATGCTTTCCAACTCTCTTAGTGTCATTCAAGGCCTGGTATCTATTCACCTTATTAGCTTCTGTCACATCCACAAGAGCCTCTCCCCTAGTCCACAGATGGATACTGGATAGTGGGAATAGTCCAAAGTTGCTTTTCCCATTAGCAGTGATCTGGAGCAGAAGGGGAGCAGCCAGGACTCAACCAGTGCCCACATGAAATGCCAGCATTGCAGGCAGAGACTTTACCAGCTGTGACAATTTTTTTTCCAGGGCTGGGCCAGGCTGAAGCCAGAAGCCAGGAAATTAATTTGGGTGTCCCAGATGGATGGAGGGACCCAAACATCTGGGACATCTTTTGCTGCTTTTCTAGGTACATTAGCTGAGAGCTGGTTCAGGAAGGGTGCAGCCAGGACTCAATCAGTGCCCATATGGAATGCCAGCATTGCAGGTGGAGCCTTTGTCTGCTGTGACAACACAGGCCCCAGTTAAGGATTTTTTTTAAGATTTATTTTATTTATTTGAAAGACAGAGTTACAGAGAGAGAGAAGGAGAGATAGAGAGATCTTCCATCCACTACTTTACTCCTGCCCCAAATGGCCACAACAGCTGTGGCTGGGCCAGGCCAAAGCCAGGATCCAGGAGCTTCATGTGGGTCTCCCATGCGAGTGCAAGGGCCCAAATACTTAGGTCATCTTCCATTACTTCCCCACGCATATTAGTAGGGAGCAGAATTGGAAGTGAATCTACCGTAGATTCACTGGGAAAAGCAGCAAAAGATGGCCCAAATGCTTGGGCCCCTCCATGCACATGTGAGAGACCTGGAAGAATCTTCTGGCTCTTGGCTTTTGGCCTGGCCCAGCCCTGGAAGAAAATTGTTAATTGAGGTTCTCTAAAGGGAGACTTTTAGGTAAATTGCTCAATAGGGGTTCTGATTGCTAAGGGAATCGACTCTACCCAAAAGCATTCCTGGGAGCAGCCTTAACAGACAACTTGGAAACACAGAAGAAGACTTTGTGGGTCCTGGGAAGCAGTTTCTGCAGAGGCACCCTGCCGGGGAGATCCTTCCCATGAATTGGATGAGTACAGCCGGCTCAGTCATGTATATTTCCTCCAGCTCAGCACCTGCCTCTCTTGGCGCCTCTTCCAGGTGCTTCTCTGCCTCTTCTGCTCTCTTCCTCTCCTCCTTGGCCTCCTTGTACCACCACTTAGAGAGCTGTGGGTGGGTGCTGTCCTTGGTGCTGCCCTTGCCAGCGACTTGCTGGACTATTCCCACTATCCAGTATCCATCTGTGGATTAGAGGAGAGGCTCTTGGTGGATGTGACAGAAGCTAATAAGGTGGATAGATACCAGCCTTGAATGACCCTCAGAGAGTTGGAAAGCATCAGGGGTACCCCATTACCATGGAGAAACGGGTAGTAAAGAAATGAGCCCACACTGAGAGGAGGGCATGATGTGCCTTGCAGCCTGCTTGGAGGAGCACGGTGATTCAAGTCCATACTATGGGATGGGAGGGGGCCATGTTCTCATCATTCACTTTGGGACCTTGGCCTGTGCAGGGTGGTGTGGTCCTACCTGAGCCTCCTGCAGATTCATGCCTGCCCATCTTCTCTAACACAAGGCTCCATCACACAGTGGTCAGAGCTCTTAGTCATAGCTCATCTTTGCAATGACGGAATGTTAGTGATTTTTCTTTTTCAGTGTTTGAGAAGCTCTAAACATGCTCCCCATGTATTTGCTCTGCACCTGGCCTCCACATGGATTACCTTACTTAGCCACGAGGTAAGTGCTCCCTTTTTGGAAGCCCTCCAGAGCCTGTCCCTGTTGCCTCACTGTTGGTTTCCACCCTGTCAGGCTTGAGTTAGTCTTTTCAGCTGCGCAGCCTTTGGAGGTCATGTTCTTTAGCGAAGGGAAGGTTCAGTCTTTTTCAGGAGAGAGCTTTATGAAAACAACTAATTCACAGTTGTGACAACTGGAACCACCACAGTGGGAGTACTGTTAGCTCCAAGCATATACAGATAAAAAACTCTTCCTTAAACTCTTGTGGCCCTCTCCTCAAATTTGTACCTCCTCCAGGTGTGGTGCATTTGGAACTTGCTTTATTCACCATTATAACTCTTGAGTTAGCAACTCATTTCTGGGTCCTTGAATTCACATGTTTCTTCATTAACCTTTTATATAAGGGGCTCAAAATTTCCCCTGGAAGTGTTTTTTTTTTTGAAAGAAATAATGGGGAGAAACACTATCTGAATGAATTGGAGTAATTGCAAGAGACTTGATTGAATGTCAGTGCTATATATATATATATATATATATATATATATACTGTCCTCTCACTCTGACCAGCCTGAAATAAGTCTCATAAAAGACACAAGCCCTGCTGTGTTCTGATAACCCTCAGCTGATGATGTTGCATCAGTGTGGACAGTGTTAATAACATGTGAGTATGTGCACACTTATGCATGTGCACACATGCATTGAAGGGAAACCCAGCCTGTGGTCACAGGCCTGGCTCTGGCTTTGCTGTGGCTCCCAGGGAATGCCAGATGTGGCCAGCTTTGATAGCATGAATTCAGTAGGATTGCTTAGCCTAAGGACCCACTAGGAACATCCTAGCAAATATGACATTAATGTGGCTAGAGTTGACACAACTGAAGCCTGCTTATACAAAAGTGGTAATGACTCAGGCACCTAGTGTGGACCTTCTTCAGCAGGTCTGGATCATGGCTCTGTCACTGATGAACACTCGGGGGCCCAGATGCAAGAGAATGTCTACCATGGGGACCTCCACCAGGTGTCTAGCCTATAGCCACAGCAAAGGCCACAAAGAACTCCTTGCAATTTGGCCCCAGGTAAACCAAGGAGTCAACATCATAACCTTAGGAGACTCTTGAGATTTCACATCTGCCCAAGTATTATCTAATCAGTGTTGACTATTTTATGTTTTAGAGAAATCATTGAATCATACTGGGACATCCTTCTCCTGCTTTTAAAGAATAGGTGGGGGAGGGAAAGGAAATGAAGCCACCCATCAGATAGCACAGTAGTCTCTGGTGACCAGCTGGTTTGACAGATTTTGAAGACAGTCACAGAAGCTCCTTCAGGCCAGTTTTTAGCAGAATTTCTGGAAGCTATATCAGAAGTGCACAGCTATGCACACTTGTAGGCAACCATGAAAGGGCACTCCAGATCCATGTAAGCAGCAGCTCTGTGAGTCTCTGGGGCATCCTAAGGAATTTGAGTACCATTCCCCATTCCAATGAGCATGGACAGCATATCTTACGGGAATTCTCTTTGTTCAAAATGCAGTTCTGCCTGTCATATACTGAGTGTCTCTGGACTTCTAGTTTTGACAGTGGTGACTTTGTGACAGGTGAAGAATGGAATGGTCTTCTCCAGGGACCAGGCTTCAAGTAAGGTCATCTTGGGGTAAGCTCTGCATTCTGAATGTAAACCTATTTTCATTGTCATGCCTAAAAATCTGGTAGGTCTCTGGATATTATAAAGATGTTGACTATGGATATAGCTGTATAAACTGCAGAGAGTTTTCTTTTGAGTTGAGGATTTTGTTATGGTTTATGAATGGTATTTTCATATTTAGACTTCAAGGCTATTTGGGGATCCACAAGATCTCAAGTGTGACCTAGCAGCTTTAATTCTTGATATTCACCTTTCAGTGAAATGAGATGTCGTGTTAATTCCAAAGAAAGAGCGTCTTTTCCTTTTTAGCTTCTAACAAGTTCTGTGTCTAATATTTTAAACGTATATAAAGGAGATAATATAAAAAATTGGGGAAATTATTGCTAAAAATTTAAAAAATACTTGCAAAATAAATAATTTATGGTAATGAAAATTACTTGCCACCAATATTATAATATTAGAAGTTTAAGATCTTGAATACAGGGACCCAGCACTGTGGCACAGCAGGTTAAAGCTCTGGCCTGAAGCGCCAGCATCCCATATGGGCACTGGTTCTAGTTCTGGCTGCTCCTCTTCTGATCCAGCTCTCTGCTATGGCCTGGAAAAGCAGTGGAAGATGGCCCAAGTCCTTGGGCCCCTGCACCCATCTGGGGGATCCAGAAGAAGCTCCTGGCTCCTGGCTTCGGATAGGCTCAGTTCTGGCTGTTGCAGCCATCTGGTGAGTGAACCAGGGATGGAAGATCTCTCTCTCTATCTCTACCTCACTCTGTAACTCTGTCTTTCAAATAAACATAATAAATCTTAAAAAAAAGATCTCGAATACATTAAATCTTTCTGAAACTAGAGAACATTATGTTAAGTGAAGTAAACCAGACAAAGAAAGACAACTACTTCATGATCTCAGTCATATGTGGAATCTAAGACAAATTTAATCACATGCAAAAAATGCAAGGATGTAATTTTGCACTTACAGTATTCCAAGTCATGTGGAGTTAAGTGCTAAGTTACAGTTTGACAGCAGGGAGACAGTGATCCTGGAGCAAAGCTATGCTTTGTGATTCTTGTGTAAAAATACAAAAGTGAGGGCCTGCGCTGTGGCATAGCCAGTAAACCCACTGCCTGCAGTGCCAGCATCCCATATGGGCGCTGATTCAAGTCTCGGCTGCTCCACTTCTGTTCCAGCTCTCTGCTGATGGCCTGGAAAGCAGTAGAAGATGGCCCAAGTCCTTGGGACCCTGCACTCATGTGGGAGACCTGTAGGAAGCTCCAGTTCCTGGCTTCAGATTGTCCCAGCTCTGCCCATTGCAGCCATCTGGGCAGTGAACCAGCCGATGGAAGACCTTTCTCTCTCTCTCTCCCCTTTTCTCTCCCCCTCCCTCCCTCCTTCTCTCCCCCTCCCTCCTTCCTTCTCTCCCTCTCTCCCTTTCTTTCTCCATTTCTCTGTCTTTCCCTCTCTCCTTCTTTCCTCTCTCTGACTCTCAAATAAATAAATAAATCTTTTTGAAAAATACACAAATGAAACACATCATCTCTCATTTTTGGAGAAAGCTCTGAAGTAAAAAATGTTTAGGACAGCACTCAAATGTTCACTCCTTACTCTGCTAAAATGTCAATGATGAATCAGAGCCATCTGATTCATCTTTAAGAAGGGCCCTGGCTCCCTGGGCTAGGTTCCTTCACAATGATGGAGCAGATTGTCTTGTCAGTCCTGAAGTCCATCTTCCCACTTAGAAAACATTAGAATGGAAGGTACAGAAGCTGACTGAGGTCTGGCTCATGGCCTGTTCTCATCCATGAGGAGTCCCTGGTCTCTTGACCTCCATTTCCCCTGTCCCTATGAGGCTATTGGGTTTACATCATGGCTCTCCCATGTCAAAGCAGAGAGCTGGATCAGAAGTGGAGCAGCTGGGACTCGAACTGGCCCACATATAGGTTGCTGGTACTACAGGAGGCAGCTTTACCCACCATGCCCCAGCACTGGCCCCATGTGGACCTTCTTGTTCTGGGAATTCGGTGCTGCTTCTTACACTGAGTCTGCTGGGAATACAAAGATGAGGAGGTTACAGTTGTCTTCTACATGCACAGACTCCACCATGGGCATTGGGCCAGGGTGGCATAGGGTAGTGGCAAGTACCCAACATATGCTAACGGGGACTTTTCTAGGTGGACGGAACAGCCCAGTCTCCCTGCCCTTTTCTGAGTTCATCAGGAACACTCTAGAAAATTGTAGCGCAATGTGATGGGGACTGCATCACTAAATAAGAACTTTGCTTTTTCACCAATTCCTCTTGCACTGCAGGTGGGAATACTATAGACTGTCAGGTAAGTATGAACCTTTTCTCTTGGTAGTGATGCTACAGTTTCCCACCTCCCCATGGGTGGGGCTCTTCAGGAGAATATCATCTGGGTTCATCCACACAAGTAGAGGCAGAGGCAGGCTCTCCCTGGAGTCTGCTTCTTGAGTAAATTAATGCAAAAACCAAAATGGTGGAAGATTTTCAGCTTTTTCTTACCTTCTGTGAGGGTAAAAGAACTTCTATCAATTCATTCCTTTTATGATCAAGTTGGTGAGAGTTTGTGTTGCTAAAAAACAAAGCACCCTGGGACCAATACTGTGATGCAGCAGGTTAAGCCACAGCCTGCAGTGCGGGCATCTGGTATGGGCAGCAGTTCGAGTCTTGCCTGCTTTACTTCTGAAGCAGCTCCCTGCTGGAGAGCCTGGGAAGAGCAGGGTGGATGACCCAAGTGCTTGGGCACCTACAGCCACATGGGAGACTTAAATAAAGCTGTGGCTCCTGGCTTTGGCGTGGCATAGCCTTAGCTGTTGTGAACCATTTGGAGAGTGAACCAGAGGATGGAGAGTCAGTCTATCTCTCTCTCTCTCTCTCTCACTCTCTCAATCTCTCAATCTCTGTATCTCTCTCTCTCCATTTGTAAGTCTACTTTACAAATAAACAACAGCAAAGCACCCTGATAAACATAGTCTGTCATGGCTGCATTTGCAGTCCTAGAGATGGTTCCCTTGTGGAAAAACAGCATGTACCTTAGTGGATGCTGACATCTGCTTCCAGGTATGGTAGAATGGCTTGCATGAGATGAACCATCTTCACCCCAAGATGTGAACACTAAACAAAATTTCTAAGGTATATGTTTGAAATTAGGAGAGAGTAATCAAGGCATCCAAAAATTAAGGCTGTAAACCTCAATGTCAAGAAAGTGCTCTACAGTGGGCACCTGGAGTGGTAGTGGTGCTGTCATAGGAGGGTTATGGTGGTTGCTAAGTTTGAGCAGTGAGCTTCCAGGATGTCAGGCAGAGTTTGAGGCTGAGAGATTTGCAGTGTCTCATGCCTGAGGATACAAAAGTTGGAATTTAAGGCATCCAGGGCAGTAAGGAATAAAGTCCTGGGGCATTGGTATGGACGGTCTCTGGGGTACATCTCCAAATATTGGCAGAGGCCAGTCAGACAGAGAAAGGGCTGGGGACTGGGCAAGAATGGTGTGAGGTGGAGGAGTGGGGTGTTCAGAGCACCTATGAGGTGCATTCAGTATAGCCTGAGATAGTTACCAAAATCCTGGAGGATTGGAGACCTATAGAGAAGGGAGTAAGACCCTGGGCACCTGGAGTGGTAGTGGTGATGTCATAGGAGGGTTGAGCCTCGGGGTTGCAGAGTAGAAGCAGCGTGAGATATACAGTCTGATTTTCTGGACCCTCTGCCTACACCTGTCATTTGTCTACCACTGTCATCTTCCTAGCCAGATTATGGGAATCAAAGTCTAGTAAGGAGATAAAGATTTCTGGCACAACAACAGGGAGATCCTATGTCAGAGGACTTGATGACTCTCTGACAAGCTGGCATGTCCAGAGCACATCTAAGAGTTGTTACAGGACAAGGCAAAGTAGCTGCAGCTGCTCTGACCAAACTCCTACATGATATGAGCGCCTCACAGAGGAAGTGGGGTGGACAAAGAAAACCAAAAACATTTGTTATCACTGAAGCTGGTAATGTATCCTTAGGAGAGTTTGGACACAAAAGCTGCTGGGGCTTGGAGGTGCTTTGCTGTCTGGTGGAGCACTGCCTTTCTCCACTTAGCACATCCCCCATCACTTGTCTCTTGGGAATTCTTGGAACCTAAAACTCTGTGCCCTTTTCCCCTGGACTCTTCCTACCTGCCTAGGGGTCCTACAGACTCTGAAGGACTCCAAGCATTCAGTGCTTCCAAACCCAGGAAGACAGAGGCCTTCTCAGCCAGTGATTATGAGACCAATCCAGGAAGGACCTTTCCTTGCTGAGATGGGGGAGGAAGCCAGGGGAAAGGCTGCAGATGAAGAGGGAACAGACAAGGGGGAGGGCCGAGGAAGACCTCAGGGGTGTGGGGCAGGGAAAGGCTGTGATCTTTGTGCCCATCCACTCTACACCTGCAAGCAAGGAAGCAGTTCTGAAATCCCACCCAAACTGCACACTCCTAGATTTTACATTAAATAAGCTTTGTATGTTTTTCTTTTCACCAGTTTGACTTTTAAGTTTTATTCTTTTAATCCGGCTTTCAGTAATGATCTGTCTGCAAAGGCAGAAGTATTCTGAGAGAGGCCTTAAGAAAAGGAACTGGAGAACTGGGGACAGTTGTGAAGCAACATTGGTCTCAAAGCCTTGGATTAATAATCAGTTCTGTGTCTTTTCATGATGTTGCTTTGAGGTCATCTTGGTTCTTTGTTTTCCTACAAAAGCCAACAGTGCTACACTGGTGAAGGCCCCAGGTATTCCTGTAGCCAAGGATCATCATCACTTGGACCCCATGCTGGAGGATGGCCCAGGGGCAGGAGGTGGAGGGTGAGGTGATTCATGTCTCCCAGGGATCTCATGGGAAGAACTGACAGGGTCCTCCAGCCAGAGATCACCAGGAACATGTAGATCTGAGCACACTGAGTCTCCTACTAGTTACAGGAGGACAAATATACCATGGGGAGCAGCAGGCAGGGGTCTCAAAGAGGGTGTTAGAAAGCGCCTCAT